CTTGCTTCAGTTTATCGGAAAGATTATTCTTATTAACTTCTGATAGGTCGCGTTTTTTTAGAGCTATAACTTTGGGATCCCCGTTGGATGGGACTTTGAAAGGATTTATTTTAACGTATATATATCTCAAATGACGTTTCTATATAATTGTTAATAAAGATATTATCGATTGCAGTTGCCGAACTTTTAGTTACCCTAGTTGGTTTATTTATAACTGGTATGGTATTATATTTAAAAAGCATGTCAAAAAAAGATTTTGTTTTTGGATTATTTTTATATGTCAGAGCGTTCAAATTTATGTCGCCGGCAATATACAAATTTTTTTTTATTTTTTTTATTTTTGAGGCTGTATTTTTTATGAATTCTTCAAACAATTTGACTTTTCCACTCAGTGGACGATATACGCACCCAACTAAAATGTTTTTATCTTTGTCATTTATTATTTCAATAAATAGACTATCATAATTAAGATTTGACGAGCATAGTTTATTTTTTATTTTAAATGAATATTTGTTAAAACATAAACACCAATTCCTCCACTGTTTTTATTACTTTCTCGCGGTTGACTAATTAATTTATAATTAGGCAACTCGTAAATAGAATTAGAATCAAGTGTATTGTCATGCCAGGTCTCTCAAAGAGATATAACGTCAAACGTGTAATTTATAATATTTAAGAATTCTTTAAACTTGCAAAGTTTTGGTTTATGCTCCTAATATTTATTTGTAATATAGAAAATTAATTTGTTTCTTTTTTTCTCTTAAATTCATAAGGATTAAAATACGGTGTTTTCATTAAATTCCTTTGAGTTTCTTGAAAAATATTTGTGATATTTTTTAAATTGTCTTCAAAAGGGTCAAAAATTATATTTTCAAAACCTTGTTGAAAAATATTATTCAAATCCATTTTTAAGTAAGTATATGAGAATTTACCTATAAATATATTTATAAATTATTTATCCCGAGGTATTACATTTTCTGTGCTTTCACATTTATTTTGTCGGAATTCATGGACAATTAGTTTATTATAAACAACTTTAGCATAAAAACCGTTTTGTCTATGAATTTTCGCGTTAGCAAATAACTCTTTTCCAATTTTTCGAGTAGTGCTACAAAAACCTTCATTAACAAAAATATTGGTATCTTTAAGCTTCGATGCGTTATCAGTGATCACTTTTTTGTCCTCGTAGTTGTGCAGTTTCAAAACAATTGTTCGTTCACGATTATTATTCTAAACTCCAATTCTGTGTGCTCGTTCAATTTTGACTTCTCTTTTGATGTTCAGATTTTCAGCAAAGAGTTTATTTACTTTTTCTTTAGTTTTTACCCAATCTTTTTCATCGCTAGTCTCAGATAAACCATCAATACGCAAGCTGTTTCTTCGATTCCGATCTTCTATGTTAACAGATTTTAATTTTAGGCCGTTGTTGTCAGTCGAAATTTTCCCCTGTATTATCTTTACGCTGGATAACTCTTCTTTAACTTTATCAATTTTTTCATTTACACTTTTAACCTTATCGTCGCAGACATCACCAACAAATGTTAAGCCAGCTTTGATATCATCAAGATCCTTTTTTACGTCTTGAATGTTTTTTTTGAATGATTACTAATGAAAACCGCTATACACCCTGCCAGCCTTTATTTACTGAATATACTAAATATCTACCAAATAAATATTTATCATCTTCTAATTTTTATGTTCAAAATTAATAAAAGTATTACTTCAAAAACTTTTAATCCCTTGTTCAAAACAAAATGCATAACTAGATATTCATATAACACCTATATACAAACCAAAAGTTATTTTGCGGCAACTGAGTTTTCAATTTCAATTAGAGGACCAGGCATGGAACAAAATACTCATAACTGAACCAGAGTTGTTAACTAGGCCAAAAGTGGCAAGGCTAACGCCAAGGCTACACATTACAAGGCCAAGGCAAGACCAAGGCCATAAGTTACAAGGCCAAAGACAAGGCCAAGGCCAAGAGTTAGTAATTTTTTTTTTGAAAAGATTAATGTTTTTTACCTTCAAAAAAAAAAAAATTATTAAACCATTAACAAAAATTTACTACGGGGGAAAATGCAGTTTTTTTTTTTAGTTTCTCGAAAGTTTACATTATTGGACTTCCGCCCTTTTAACATTCACCGATTCAATAGATGTTTTATTTATTACTTAACCAATTTTATGTTTGTTTATTTTACATAGTTAACGGAATTGCCTATTTTTAAATTAAACTTTATATTTACGGAATTTGTCAAGGGGCTTGACGATAAGACAAGGGGCGAGAAGTCTTCTTCTCGCCCCTGCAACCTATATATCTTTTCGGTAACTTACGGATTGTATATATTTACATAGCAGAAAAGAAAAAAAAAAAGAGATTTTATTTGTTTTACTACTTACAATACAATGCTTAGTATTTAAATCTCAACATAGCGTCTAGGTTTCTTTTTTAAACTAGCTAAATGCATAGGTAAGCAGGGCCGTGAGGAGAATTAAAAGAGGGCAGGGGCTAATTTTTAGGTGGGGCGGAGCAATAAGGGCGACCAACTAAGCAAGCCTGGGCAAGGCCAGGAGTCGGGGTTCTTGGGGAGGAGGTTGGAAGTCCCCCTTCTCAGTTGCTAGAGGATCTGGTAGAGCGTTGTAAGCCCCCTCAATGGGGCCTTTGGCAAAGTTCTATCCGCCAACAATTTCTAACCACTGGAAAACCCAACTTAACCATTTCCAATAGGCCTACATTATTTTATTAGAAATAATTAATACTTGATGATCTTTGCATCATTCATTTATTTATCTAACGAAAGCAAATTGAAAAGATCAGAATAGTACGTTACACACATTTGTAGTATACTGTAAAATAATATAAATCTGTAAAGTAGATAACACAATTAAAATATACAACAATTATATTCCAGAAAATGTACATTATACTAACAACAAGCCATTACAGTAATAGCCTGTTGTAATGGCCCCAATCAACGTAAAGATCTTAATGTAAACAATACAGATTGTGAGGCATTATGCGTTGACATAATAAATAAAATAGCTAAAAACTTCATAATCAATGCTATTTATAGAACGCCAGCTGGTAGTTTAAAAACATTCAAAACTTATCTGCGCACATTCCTAACCACAAAAAATATATTGCAAAAGCATGTTTACGTAGTTGGGGATATCAACATTGACTTACTCAACCATGCCTTAAATAGTGAAGCAAAAACTTTTTTTGATATTCTTCTCGAATACAACCATATCCTAACTATAAACAAAGCAACAAGAGTAACTAAAAAATCATCGACATTATTAGATAATGTTATAACTAACAATTAATCATAATAGCCGTTTTAAAACTGGTATAATCAAGACTGATTTAACTGATCATTTCCCTATATTTCTTATTACTGAGAGCGTAACTCTAAATAATGCTACCCGCAAATCAAAAGTATACATGAGACAAATCAATGAAAGTTCCATATGCCAATTTAAAAATTTATTGAATGATTACGTCGATTGGAATCTTGTACTGCAATCACACGATGTAAATAATGCCTATGATTTATTTCTAAACCAATTTTCTAAAATGTATGATAGGGCATTTCCTTTAAAAGTGAAAGTAATAAACTTAAATTCGGTTGAATCCCCATGGATGACCAAAGGCCTACTAAAATCATTAAGGAAAAAACAAAAATTGCATGATAAATATTTAAATAAAACTTAAGTATTAAAAAAAAAAATAAAAACGATCAAAAGTAAATTACTAAAAACTAAACTGCTTGAAGGAAACCCTCAAAAAAACGTGGAGTGTTATTAGAGACTTAATTGGGAAAAATAAAATTGAAAAAAATAACTTACCGCAAAAACTTATTATTGAAGGAAAAATGATCTATCATAAAGAAGTTATTATTGAGAAATTAAACAATTTTTTTCTTGATGTCGGCCCAAACCTAGCAGCGAAAACTCCAGTTGGTCAAAAAAAATTTGATTCATATCTTGCAACAACTGATTTAATTATGGAAGAACCAATTTTAAACAAAAGTGAACTACATACTGCTTTTAATAGTCTGAAAAAAAAAATAAAAATGCAGGTATAGATCAAATAAATGTTAATGTAATTAAATATGTTTTTGATATTATCGAACCCTCATTATTCCATATTTTTAATCTCTCCCTTAAATCAGGTCATATTCCAGATAAACTAAAAATTGCAAAAACTACACTTATTTTTAAATCTGGCGATGAGACCAATATTTCAAACTACAGACCAATCTCAGTCTTACCCTGCTTTTCAAAACTAATTGAACGCATTATGTACAACAGACTTTATAAATATCTATCTGAAAATAAGATTTATATATATAATAATCAATACGGTTTTAAAAAAAATCATTCTACTGACCATGCAATAATTGAATTGGTTAAGCATATATCAAATGGATTTAATAGTGATTGCTATACAATAGGGGTTTTTATTGATTTATCCAAAGCTTTCGACACAGTAAATCATGAAATTCTTTTGAAAAAATTAGAAAACTATGGTGTTAACTAACAGAAAGCAATTTATACTTAAAGAATCAAAAGATTCAAAAAATAACTTAATAACTTGTGGAGTACCCCACGGTTCTATTTTGGGACCATTATTGTTCTTACTTTATATAAATGCCCACCCGACATTAAGTCGTCTTAAAGACGTGTTAAAGTTGTCTTGATAAACGTCTTAAAGATGTCTTAAACTTGTCTAAAATGAAACACTGTAAGACGTCTGTTTAAAGATGTCTTAAAGTCGTCTTACATAAAACGTCTTTAAGTTGCCGCATGCAAGACATCTTAAAGTCGTCTAACTTAAGACGTCTTTAAAAGGTTTTAAACTGGTCCAAAATGAAACACTGTAAGACGTGTTTTGAAGACGTCTTGCAGTCGTCTTTAAAACGTTTGAAAAAGTCAAAACATTTTAACTTTTAGTTTATGAACTATCTAAATGCTATAGGAGAAAAAAAGAGACATGATTTACTACCAAAAATATATTTCACGCCATCAACAACAAAAACTAAATTATAATATGTTCAATCAGATTTTCGTGATGCTGGTGCGTTTTTCAACACGCCCTGAATAAACTGATGGACTGTCTTCTCTGATTCCTTTGGATATCTTTCTAGGACAAACCCTAATAAGTGAAAATTAATAAAAATAGGTCTAGAAAATAATTGTTATTTTAGAAAGTAGCATTAGAAGACACTTACTAATCACACATTTATAAAGATTGGTTTCTTTAAAACTTCTCTTTCCGCCTCTCTGCCCATCCATGTTGAAATTTCTCATGAGAAAACAATCCAACATACTAAAAAATCAGGAGGTAAATATACAATTAAAAAACTGATAATTACAAAAGTTCCTAAGGAGAACTTAATTTCTTATTAGCATTATATTAGCCCTGATAGCAGGTCACCTGAGAATTCTGATTAGCAATTTAGCTGTAAAAATACAAATAAATGTTTTTAAAGCTGTTTTTTATTCTTAATCAACAAACAAAACATTTTTATCGTCGCATAATCGTTCGAGTACAGTCACCTATGTTGGCACCTCCAATTTTACTCAGCCTTTCAATCTATAAACAAATTTGATTACAATTTATTTTGTTATAATATCTTGGGTTTTCAGAATTCTTTTAACAGCCCCAAGACATATCAAATGCATATAGTCAAGGCAGAATCCAGAAACACATTTGATACCAGCAGCTATAAGAGGAGACTTATATTTCTGATGTTTCTTATATGACTGGCAGCTAAAATCTTCATCTGTTCGCTTGCGAAATTCTTGCTCTTTATTAAACACAACCCTACCTTCCCAGGATCCTTTAATAATGCACCTTTCACAGGAAAAATATCCAGTATGACCAACAGTCCCTTTTAAAAAAGATCTTGCTGGGACATCACATTGAAAAGCTCTAACTTTAACAGTGTGTACAATTTTATTGTTATACCAGATAATTTTATACAACACAATTGATTTTATTGTTATACCAGATAATTTTATACAACACAATTCTTTTAAAAAATTATCTAAAAACACATCCAAACTTGATGGTTTTTGTTCCCCTGTGTATATTGCCACAATAAAAATCTTTCCACCACCAACTTCACAAAGAATCGGCCAAAATTGAGTATTGGATGATTTAAATAAAGGTAATCCGTCAATATTAAAACTAAGCGATATTTCACTTTCAGAACCTGTTAAATTTTTTTTGATACCAGCTTCTAATCCAAAATAGTAATATGTGCCACCACATTTTTGAACACACTGAACTTCTTGTGGTACTTTTAAAAGAGTTCTTGCATCTTTGGGTAGCATGTTACCATGTTTTCGAAGTATATCGAGTAAACTATTCATAGCTGCTTGAGAACAATTAAACTCTAGACACCAAGATGCAAGGTCTCCTGAGAGGTTTTCTCTACTGGTGGTTGAATTAAAAGAATTTCTGTCACTAGAACTGTCGGATAAATATTCAGGTGAATCGCTCGACCGTACTTCCATATTTTCTTCCACACGTAAATTACTACAACTTTGACTGCTAGAATGAAAATAAGCTCTAACTTCTTCTTCTTGAGGTGGTGCACAGTTGACGTTACACACATCCACAGTTTCTCGAGTTTCTTCTAAAACTGATTTATTTAATTTTCTCCAGTTCTTTAAATAATCTTTTCTTGATGCAGACATATTCTTAACAATTACTTTGAATGAGTTAAAACGAATTACTACTTAAACGTATTGAACAAATTAATACTTTAACGTGCTAAACGAATTACTACACTAACGTGAAAAACTTTATTAAAACTTATATTATTTATTTTTTTTATAAAATAATATGTGCGAAAAGAAACTGGTAACTATAAACTGGTTACCATTCTTTTCTTTTCTTTTCGATCGTTAAAACTTATCTTCCGCATTTAATATTCGTCTTCCGCATATACTCAGAATTCTGTCTCATACCGAGTATATGCGGAAGACGAATATTAAATGCGGAAGATAAGTTTTAATGATCGAAAAGAAAAGAAAAGAATGGTAACTATATAGTTACCAGTTTCTTTTGGCACATTTTATTTTGTAAAAAAAATAAAGTTTTAATAAAGTTTTTTAAAATAAAGTTCTTGAATTAATTCAAAACGTCTTAAACTGGATGTTCAGGAAGACGTCTTGCTAAGATGTCTTTAGGACGTCTTAAACCAGTTGTTCCTATTATAGCCGTTTTAAAGACGTCTTGTTGCAAGACGTCTCTAAGACGTCTGTTAAAGACGTCTTAAAGCCGCCTTATACTGGCTGAAGACGTCTAGACAAGTTTAAGATGAGTAAAAGACGTCTTAAAGACGTCTTATGTTGGGTGGGTGACTTATATTTATCATCAAAAGTATTAAATACTATCTTATTTGCAGATGACACTAATTTGTTTTATTCTCACAAAGATATTACTGTTCTTTTTAAAATATTTAACGAAGAATTAGATAAGATCAACGAGTGGTTTATAAGTAACCGACTATCATTAAATGTAGAGAAAACAAAATTTATCCTATTCCATAAACCTAGTAAAGCCGAGAATATTCCTCTTAAACTACCCAATCTTTTAATTAATAATAAAATAATTAAAAGGGAATTGACTACAAACTTTCTGGGAGTGCTCTTAGATGAAAAAATTTCATGAAAATTTCATATAAAATATATTGAAGGTAAGATCTCAAAAAATATTGCCATGTTATACCGAACAAAACCTTTTCTTAATAACGAGTCTTTAAAAAAATTATATTTTTCGTTTATACACAGTTATCTTTCATACTGTAACATTTCCTAGGATAGCACTAATCACACTAAATTCAAAAAAATTTATAGCAAACAAAAACATGCTTGCAGGATAGTATTTGGGGCAAATAGAAAAACACAATGCGAACCTCTCTTACGTCAGCTTGGAGCTTTAAATATTTATAAGCTTAATATTCATCAAGTAATGTTATTTATATTTAAAGCAAAACTTGGGTTTTCTCCAGTAACATTTCAATCCTACTTTAATGAAATCTCCCATAAATATCCAACAAAATTTCAGTGAATAACTTTGTGGTTCCCATAAACCTTCTTAAATTAAGTTTGTACCAAATTCAATATCGGGGACCTTTAGTTTGGAAAAAATTTCTTCTAATCTTTAGTAAAAAACAAAACTTCGTTTTAAACTGCACTTTGCAAAGTTTTAAGGATGATTCAAAACGGCATTTACTGAACATGGAATTCGATATATTAGATTTTAAATACCTTTTTTGAAACAATTTAAAGGTTTAAACTAAATCACTTAAAAATAAGTTGAACCATTATCACTTTCTTTAGCTTTTATTAAAATGGTTTCAAACCATTAGTATAAAAGATAACGAAAATAAAATTGTCTTTTTCGTTCATATTTTTGATGATATTAAATAATCAGCCCAAATACTTATGTTTACATATATTGCTTTTTTTTTAATTAAACAACGCATTTATTTTGTGTTTTTATAACTTTCATGATTTTCTGTCGTTTTTACATTTTTATTTTTAAAATTATTCTGCTGGAAGATTGTTGGCAACAAATTATTTTATTGCTTAAGTTTTTGATTTGTTTTTATTTTTGTATTTATACTGTCTTTTTGTTTTTTATCATTTATTGTGCATGTAAATTTTTGTGTGACGTGGCTTGGTGATAAGACAACCTGTCTTCTTCTTGCTCCGACCAGAATTTTCTTTTATTGTAATTTCTTGTTTGTAATATTTATCAACGGCAAAATAAATAAATAATAATAAAAAAAAAAAAAAAAATCCCTTAAACACATTACAACAGTAATAGCCTGTAGAATGGCCCCCAATCCCTCAAACACATAACCCAGCAAACATGTCAGCGTTGAATCAACGTTGAAAACCGGTCGCAAAAGGTGTTGCGGAAACGTTGACAAAGTAATCGATTTTGCAAAGATATGTCACGTTGTTAAAGAGACGTTGATTAAACGTTGTAGCGTAACGTTGAAAAAACGTTACTAAAAGACGTTACAAAAATGTCTCAACTAAACGTTGAAAAAGCGTTACTTAAAAAGCGTTGCATAGGCGCCGCAACTTAACGTTGAAAAAACCTTACTTGGAGAGCGTTACTTTAACGTTGTTAAAGCAGTCGATTTTGCAAGGATTTGTAACGTTGGTAGTAAAACGTCGATTTAACGTGACTCAAAGACGTTGAGTAAAGGTTGAAATATAACGTTAAATCAACGCTCAAATGCGCTGGAGAAAATACCGCAAAATATTATTAAACGTGATTAAACTTGGTTATAATGTATATTGAATTTGCAAATAAAACAAAATTGTATGTTGAACTCTGCACTTGCAATATTTCCAAAGTCAATTTTTAATATAAATAGTAATATACAATGAAAAACATAAAAAATATACAATTTATTTATATAAAATTTACAATTTACAGATAAAAATATAAACCTCTTTTTTAAGATTTATGTGTGTGAGTGAATTTACAGGATTTACGTGTGTGAGTAAAATTTATGTGTGTGAGTGGATTTACAGGATATCGTATCAATAAGCCAGGATATCATTGAGATACAGAATCTAAATCAAAAAATAAAACTTGTATCATTATCAATCTGAAAGTAAATGTTTAAAAAATGTTATTGAATTAGTATGATTATTATTAAATTTAAAAAGTAAAAAAAAAAATATATATATATATATATATATATATATATATATATATATATATATATATATATATATATATATATATATATACATATATATATATATATATTGTGATTGTCGTAATAGCATAAAATAAGTAATTGTTTTTAAAAACAACACGACGTTTTTTATTCTTAAATTGTTTTGTAGTAAACAACTGGGGTTGATATTTGACTGGGGTCGGAGCCGGGTTTGATAAAATAAAGCCGGGGCTAGGGCCGGATTTGAGACCAGGCTGCATAAACATTTATACATCCTAAAGTATATTTTTTAAATTTAAAATTCATGCTATATTTTGTATATATATGCATATATGAACATCATTGTGATCAACATGATCATCATAATCATCATAAACATCATCATCACCATCATCATCACCATCATCATCATCATCATCATCATCATCATCATCATCATCATCATCATCATCATCATCATCATCATCATCATCATCATCATCATCACCACCACTGGGTTTTATATATAAAAGATATAATTTTTGGGCTTTTCTTATTTTACTTAAAACATCAACTCAATTCTAGGCTTTTTTCATTATTGAGTTTTAATTTGTAATGTTGAATTAACACTGAAAAAAAAAATATTAGCAGACAAAAAGAAAATATTTCTTTATTGAAATATATGTAAATATTTCAATAAAAAAATTTTAGATCGATTTTTATAAATATAAAT